TCCGGTGCTCGAATAGGCCAAGTCTCACAGCCATATAACAAAACAGCCCGTACTGTAGCTTGGTACACACGTCCCTTCAGATTCAGGGATAAACCATTCTGACGCCATAGGTGTCTCAAGTTAGCAAACGCGGCCCGAGCCTTGCAGATTCGTGCATTCACCTCATCTGTCACACTACAATCAGAACTAATACACCTTCCAGGATACGTAAAATGCTCCACAACTTCCAGTACCTCTCCCTGTATTGTAAGTGGCGTGTTCAGTGACTGCACGTCCACAAGCATGACCTTACACTTTGTGGGTGCAAAGTGCATACCAAAGGACGGGATGACTTTGGTCAGTTCATCCAAGAATACTTGCGCCTTTTCCTCCTCTTCGAACATGAGAACGATGTCGTCTGCATATTCCAGATCGACAAGGTTTTCTTCAAAGGGCTATTTGCACACCAGGGTTTTGGAGACCCTCCAGCGTTCGTCTCATTATTTCATCGATCCCAAAGTTAAAAAGGAATGGAGAGAGTGGGCATCCCTGACGGACACCGATTTGTGTGCGGAAGCTTTTGGAGAGCTTTGCTACAACTTAAAGGACTGCAGCTTTTGCATTGTCAGCCTTTTGTCAGCCATTTGCCAGCCTTTTGCATTGCAGCCTTCAAAACTCTTTAGACACTCTGCTATGCCGGATTGACCAACAGGTAGCTGTTACTCAAACGTCTTTCCTCTTTCGATCGAGACAAACCCAGGTTTTTCGCTCTTCGTGTGTCTGGTGATCTTGGTGCCATTGCTCGTGGTATCTATGGCATGGGGGGTGTGCTTAGTTCCAGAGTAGAATGCGATCTACTGGACATGATTCGACTGACCAATTGTCTCTGAGATGCCAGGTTAACTGGTTTGGTCAGGATCAGTGCAATCCGACGTGGCCAACGATGTCTTTTTGTTGTGCCAGTGTGCGTCCTGACAAACAGTAGCTCTGAGGCTGAGATAGAGAGCTCCTGTAGAGATTTGTCATGGTTACTTTTTATCAATGAGAAACACAGACCTGTTGATTTAGGAAAGTAATATGAACGTGTGGGCAGGCCACCTGAATCCTGACACAGGCGATCCTGGTGGCCGATTCGGGTTTGACAATCACCGCACGGATTACCTGCTGGACATCATTTGTTTCTAGCTCGCGCAAAATTTCATCGCAGGCGTGACCTGAATGCCACTAACTGCAAACCATCCACGGACTCATTTTGATCATCTATCAATTGCCGATGGAAAGCTTAGGTACAAGATCGTATATAACTTCGAAGAACATCACGGTTCTCAGATCACGGCAATCTGCAGGCATGACAAAAAGAAGAGTAGCCCAGACCGCCTTGGGTGAATGGACACTCAGCGAAACTCGATTACTCGATTATTAAGTTATATCGGTGGCCTTTGGAGAATGACGAATTCTCACTGGGAGTCGTGAATTCTGGCAGTTAAATCGACGATAGACTAGAGTGTGCGATAATTCTCACTGGACCTTTTACATCCTTCCTGAAATGGATGAAGATTTGCCTAGCATTCCATGCTACAGTAACACCTTTGAGCGTTTCCGCTCATTCAACGCTGGTGGCTGGTCTTTTGTTCTTGCTTCTTAGTTGCCACCGAATGAAAGAAAAGATAAACACAGACGTTTCCTGAAAAGGTTATTGGCGTTAACTCCGGTATATGCTTTTCAATGCATAGTTGTACTACAAAGAAGTTCGAAGGGCTCAATGCACCTCCGAAGATTATCAAGTCTGTTGGTTTTGTGAAGGATGAAGTAGGTTGCGAATCTCGGCCAGAATGTTGCCAATTTCTGCTACATATGGCACCACGATGATATATCGTTGAGTCCCGAAGGTAATATCTACGACACCAAAAGGTGGATTGTGTTGTTGTGCCATTGTGGCACGGTTTCTATATGATGTCTCAGGACCTTCACCAGTGCAGATGTGTGCCAGTAAATCCGCGGATATACTATCATCAAGCGGTTTCTTTGTCGATTCAATAGACGAGTCAGCTCAAGAGTGTATGCGATACCACAAAAAACCGGGTCTCAATCACGTCATATGAACACCAACCTATCGTTTGGCGAGGGTAGTTTAGCGTATTTTGTTGGATTGAGAGCGGCTTAAAGCAATGACCCTGCAGTGTATAACCTGGTGGAAGAAGATGAAGTTGCTTACAAAAGATCTGAGTACTGTGGTTGTGAGCTGCCTTCCAGAATATGGTCCATGTGAACTTTCTTTGCTTGGTTACAGGCTCCGCAAGTGGAACACCACAGCGGGTGGTCTTCACGCGGCCGTTTTCCATTTAGATTATCCTGCTCATTGTCAAAGATGTAGACACTCCATTTACTCCTACCACTTACCAGGTTTTCAGGTTGTTTGATTTGTCCGCATGGAGCTAAGGCATCCGTTTTCACGTCCGTATTGCTCTAATGATGATGAACTGACTGATCATAACTATGGTTTTAGCTTACTGTAAAGGATGTTTTTTGCCGCCGATACAATCGTCAAACCATATGGAGGGCAAGATGTACCAAGTAATTAGAGCGCGAATTTACTGACCGGAAGGTCCATAGTTTGAACCCTGCCTCTGCCTTTCGACTTTCCTGTCTAGGCTTGGGCAGCCTGAGAGCATTTCAGCCCTCGTGCCTTCCTCGTGTAGAATGTCAGCTAGGCACCGAAATGGTAGTACGGCTGAACGATTTTTTATGAACTAAAAACGTACTTGCTGAGTTAAAATTAACTTAACGTCAGCTGAATTCTCCAATGGACTGAAGTCCATACAGAATATGGCCTGCTTCTAATCATTATTCACCATACATACAGATCTGGCCGCGAATGTTACTCTCACATGGACGCTTCTTGAGCCTTGTCACATCAACTGGTGACCCAAATGACTTCTTTCAGCCCGGCAATAATCTGAGTTTATTGTGGTGAAAGGCTTTCGGATGAAGAGAAGCATTTTGAACACTAAGTTTCTTGCGCATTCCTCCTGAAGTTTTACAAGACCTCAGCCGACAATTCCACTACACCTAGCTCATGTAAGCAGACTATCTCATCACAATATCAATGTGTCCAATTCTTATCATCATCACATTTATTATCGGTAATCTCACAAGCTTTTTCCAGTATTCACCCGTTAGCAGTGCAGAGTAGGACACGCATGTCTTGTTTCTGATTTAACCATGCAATCTTTGTTGTGCGCCATTGCGGTGCAATTTCCTTCCCAGGCCGCAAACAACGACCATCGTTGCAATTAAAATCGCTTGTTAGATCGATCCGCTTTGCTGTCCCCCCTCTTTATGTTATCCAGTTAGAACAAACAACAGCCTCTCAAAGAAGTGTGTATCACCCTGCGCAATGCTTTTACTGACTTCGATGACTGGGATCGAAAGATCGGATACATGTTGTTCATAAAGAAGTTTATAGTGTTGATGATTATTTTCTCATTACTAGTGATTTACTATTCTTTTGAGAAAGGCATAGTTGTGGTAATTACTGGAATGCTTATTCGAGATCTATTTGTTTAAACGGATAGCTTGTTCTTTTTGCAGTACAGAAGTAGTATTTTGGAGAAATCCATTGTTCTCCGCGCGTTTCGTAATGAATTGAATTCAAGCCGTGCAGACCATCTTACTTCTTTTTGCTAATTCATCTGTGTTTGATCATTCATCGGCCTCTGCTGGGCAGTGACACCCACACTTTTATTGCGGGTTCTTGTTTGTATGTATTCGGTCCATCACACTTGTTGTTACCGGTATCTTTCTTCCATTTTCGTTAAGGGGCTAGTCCCAGTCCCTCAGTCATGGGTTCCAGGAACAACGCCAATTTTATTCCTGCCGGAGGTACATCTTCAACTTCAACTTTGAAAAGCTTCGCACAGAAGCCCTTCGTTCTGGTCACCCGTATTCGGATGCTACGTTTCCGGCGGACGACTCGAGCTTGTACTACAGTCAAAGACCACCATGTCACATTGTTTGGATGCGCCCGAGTGAAATTGTGGCAGCACAAAGCGGTGGTGGCTTAGTTGGTATTGCTCCGCGAAAAATGTCACTACCGGAATTTATTAGCGAAGGTGGGGCCAAACTGGGTGAACTACGACAGGGAGAGTTGGGTATGTGTGTTTTTCCGTAGCTCTTCCTTTGTACTTTCTGAAGGCTTTATGGTGTGAATGTGCCGTGACCTTTGAACCATGTACTATGGGTATTGATGCCAACCTTAAGTCCTGTGTTTAGCAGGTCACCAGATTCGTCCACTGTTGATGCTAGCATATACTTTGATACGGAGATTGGCAAGTGGTTGTTGGAGTGATATTCTCTGGTTGAAACATATACAAAGAACTTTTGCGGCAGATGGGTCGGTGTAGTGTTAGTGACTAGATGTGGAGTGAAGATTTGCAATCATCCATCTCCGGTTACTAGGACTGAGGTTATGGTTTGTGGTTAGTATAGTGGCTCAGACATTCATTTGTACTGTAATCCTTTGGGTGAAATAAGTCTTTCCTAAAAAGTCCAGATGCATTGTACAGCTGTTTCAAACCTCATCGGGACTCATCAGAACAGCTGAGTTTCCTTAGTTACCCATAAGTTCATTATACTTATGATCAACCGTTCATAGCTGAACGGTTCAACCACTAATCAGAAGGCTATTGTTCTGATTATCCTTAGAGCTTCGTGAGGTGTGCACTGTCGGTCATTTTCGACAATAAAGAAGCAACCATACGGTGCTTGTCGACTTACTTCGCTTACAGGGCAAAAGCTGGCGACTGAAATTTAACATTATTGGATGACAAGGCATTGTGTAATTTCCCTATGTGTAAACGTGCCTACTGAAATTTTTACGCAATGCAATCCCCTGAAAAGTTGTCACTTCTCAGTTAGGTACAGCTCGAGGCAGTACGGTGATCTTATACAACTTGTTTGTCACATTAATGCTATTCTTTGTAAAACGTCTTCCCAAATGCGACGTAAGTAACATGGTGAAATCTTGTCTATATCCACACTTACATCGCCAAGCTCGTCTGACAGTTGGAGCAACAGTAAACTGTGTGTGGCGACCATGTTGTTCAAACAGCAAGATGTGGAATAACAATGGCCATAATTTTAAGAATTCTTAAACTTGATTATTAGTTTTAGCATGTTGTCAACAGAAAGACTTTCATGTGAAAAGCTGTAACACCTTTTTGGTATCTAGCTGCCCACGGGCCGAGATACTGCTAAGTTATCCAAGCCTGGACAGAAGTGGTCGAGATGCAGAGGTAGAGTTTCGAACCAAGAGTAAGGTTGCCTCTTAAGCCGTTCAGCCAACAGTGTGTAGTTAGAAATGGTCCATTTTTCTCGACCGAAGCATTGCATATTTTCGTTCAGCCAATTCCATTTTTCGCTACTTTGGATTTGGAAACTGACAACTTACTGCGTCCGATACATCCTCGGTTACGACCTCCTCACTTAGTGAAAATATCAAATATCCAGGAATAATCGTGTTTTGTTTCCGTGACAAAATGTACTAGTCATACAGTTGATGAAAACTTCTCGGCAGGCTATTTCTGATTTCGTTCTTGGGGCTCATCAGTTAGGCCTAGTCCACAACCCCTTAGGTGCTAATTAAATACCAAACTTTGCGAAACATCGTAATCGAAGGATTTAGTCGAGTCAGTCGCTAATACCAGAGTAATTTGCAAGTGAACTTAATTTTCCATCGATGCTGTCTTATATTAGTGGCGAATTGCGTATTTGATTCGAACCTGGTGGCTCGAATGAAATAGCACACTTTTGAATTGGAAACTTCTTTTTGGACTGTGCAGTCTTGTAGAACTATCGTGAAACCTGTACTACTGATTTCAGATGTAGGTACAACTTTCGTTATTTGTTTGTTTTCCTTCATTTAGGCGATTGTTGGGTTGTGGCCGCTCTGGCCGCAATATCCAGCCAACCGAACCTTCTTAGTCGCATCATCCCCGTTGGTCAGTCATTTCGACCGGAATGGTACGCAGGCATATTTGCTTTTCGATTTTGGCGTTTCGGTCACTGGGAAGAGGTGATCATCGATGATCGAATTCCAGTGCGTCCTGGCGGGCAACCCTTGTTCGTGCATTCCGGTCGAATGACAGAATTTTGGCCTGCCCTGTTGGAGAAAGCCTATGCGAAGTGAGTCGAATGAGGGATAATTATGGTGCGTGTAATTTATCACCGCTCTATCTCCGACAACTCTCCAGAGGCAAACTAAGTTTGCTAATGGGAGCGAAATGTGCACGGATTGGCCAAAAAGGGGTTTTCCATCGATTCGTTGGTTTGGCTATGGCGATTGGTTGTGGAAGTAATTAATTGTCTATCGATTGTCGTTCACCCAGGCCATTGAGTCAGCTACTCAGGATAGCCTTGTATATTGACCTCAATGTGGTGGGGAAACATTTTCGGTTTTGCTGAATGTATACACGCTGTTTCAGAACAGATGTATTCATTAGTCTCTTTCATGCAAAACCCATCCATCCTACAGCACTCCAGGTGATGGTTTTATACATCCACAGCAGTTCAGTAACTATGGCGATGATCACCGACACATGGAGTAACAACTTTTGAAATAATGTTGAACAAAGTACAAATGACGGTCTTTTAAAGCATCAACGATAGGTCTTGGGGCAGTTGTTTGAATGAATGCTTCAAGGCTGCGAAAACGTTCCACTTTCAAATGACCACATTTGCAGGCCGGAGCCTAGTGTAATGAAAGGTTTCACAGTAGTCCTGTATAGGGTGACTACCTGAAGAACCGATCAAATCCGGTTAGAACACAGAAGATGATCCTTATGCGCAGTGAAACTAGAACTTGATGTAGTCGCCCCTTTATCTCGTCAATAAAAGGTTTCTTTGATTCCCTTCAAGGTGCTGCAAAAGCATTCGACCACACCAGTGTGATTTACAGCCTTGGCTGTTCACATTGGTGGGTTCCATGGAAAGTCGTTTGTATGCAGTGCAGTACAAAGCTCGCACTGAGTTCAGCAATCTCCCTCTACCTGGAAGATCCTTTTCTGAGAACCGATCTCCATAGAAATCGACACCATGCCTTCAGTTTTGTGCTTTAATACCACAACTGACAAATCTTTGCGTGCACCTTTCCATCTTGAAATTCGGTCATGAAAATGAGGGCTCGAAATCCGGATATGGTTGTCCGGATCAACAAGGGGGATCCTTTTTCTGTTTCCGAAATGTGGAAGAATGTTCAAGCCAGCCTGGGTGATTTCTGCACACTACGCCGATATGTTATACGTATGTGGATGCACGGGAGAATTGCCATCCGATGAATCCTCAGAATAACAAGATACCTGATATTTCTGGATGAATAAGGAAGGAATTGTATTCCTGCGGAAAGCATGTCACCTGTTCTCTCTCAAACAACTGCGAAGAGTCACCTGCAATCGGTGTTTGGTTTTGGTAATGTGTCGAAATATTGACAGCTCAGATGTGTCACCTCATTGTCAGCTAATCCTCTGCAAAGTATATCTAGCTATAATCAGAGCCTTAAAGTGAAAATAAAGGATTAGATGGAGGAGGGATCTAATCGCAACCTATCGTAAGCGTTTTGAGGTGCCTAAACATTCCAGCGTCCGGTCAGGCAATCTGGAAACCCACAGAACAGACACCCCTGACATAGATATACCCTCATCTCTTGCAATGTCCCCAACCAAACTCAGGGTAGAGCAACGTGGATGAAATCTTGGAAGGTGGACCGCACCAATGGATGGTCAGTGATCTGTCCATCAGTCGTGGCAATCGACTTGAAACAATTTCCTCACCATATGCTGAAGTATCGGCAGTGCGCGCACATCGATGATTGAGACACTTGATCGTGCATCAGACGAACCAATTTGATAACTCGGTGACCTACTCTAGGATGTCCTTTTGGTTGAACCATGCCTTAGGAGACGAATCATTGTCCGAATTGACGGCTTCTCAATCCAGCTGTTTTAAATTCAACGAAGGCTTCAAAGCAAGCATCGAGCCTGGTTCAAATATGCATCTTCTGAGGTTCCTGTCAAGTAAGGGATACAAGTGTACACATTCATTTCTCCTAGTTTACCCAGCCGACCGATGTGTAATTCGTCGACACCATGCCTTCAGTTTTGTGCTTTAATACCACAACTGACAAATCTTTGCGTGCACCTTTCCATCTTGAAATTCGGTCATGAAAATGAGGGCTCGAAATCCGGATATGGTTGTCCGGATCAACAAGGGGGATCCTTTTTCTGTCTGTTGGGTTGCCAGTCAGCGTTAGTACGTCGGTAGTGTGAGATTTGGGAATCTTAATGGGACAGTTGTCCTGTTAGCAAAGCTTTTTAATGCTGAAAAGCCGAGAAGCACTGTATAGCTGTTTCATCCTTGTTGGAAATCATGAGCAGTGCGCATTTCACGAAATCCAGGAAGTCTGGGACTTCCGACTGGTAGTCTGAACACATCACTGTTTGGCCCCGAACTCATTCTTACTTTTACTGGATGTCTAAACAGTTATGATGTTTTCGATTAATAGAATCATTTGAAAATCAATTTGGTTTTCAGGACAGACTCAACAGAATCTCGTTTATGATATTCTACAACTGAATGTGCTGCACACAGGCCGCATTATGTTTCACTTGGCACGATATTCACAAAGGAAACTACTCACAAGCTTGCTGAAAACTCATCGACAGCCCACAACCAGTTGTGCCCTTCTTGGGGCTCATCAGGTAGGCGCAATCACCGAGTTTCCGCCAACCTTGTGTTCTAGTTGAACCCGAATAGGACTATTTTCGAGAAATGATGTTTCTTCAATGGAATTTTCTGCTCCACTTGTTAAACGTCAACATACCCAGGCTGAGACGTATTTGTGGAACGTCGTGATCGTCATCCCTTGTCGTACGTGTCAATGTTTCGTACCACTCAAATTAAGACCGCGAAACTAACTGTTTCACTGCCCC